GCTCAAGTGGGTACAGAATTTAAAAAAGTTGTGGTCGATGTCACCGATTTGAGCCAAACTTGACAAAAACGTTTATTTTGGCAATCTGAACAAATGCCTTTTTTATTTTACTAAGTGCTTAGATCCTTCTGGGCTACAACCCTGAATTTTCGAGATTTTTAAAAATTTAAACTTCCAGAAAAGATTACTCCACAACCCAATAAGCTATTCGTGACATTAGTACGTCAATTAGAAGGTTTCCTATTCGATACAGCCAAAACGTTGTGCTTGAGAAGTACGATGAAATCTGATAGATTAGCAGGTATATAAAATTTCAATTGTGGATGACAGCTGCTTCTTGAATAATACTCTTATTTAAGTAAGCCCAAAATATTAAGAAATAAAAATCCCACCCATGGTGAAAATAGGGCATTTTTGAAAATTTGGTACACTTATAAGAATCTACATTAAAAAACCTTAACGTTCTAAGATCACGAATAGCTTATTTGGTTGTGGAGTAAACTCTTTTGAAAGATGAAATTTTTAAAAATCTCGAAAGTCCAGGGTTGTAGCCGAGAGGGATCTAGGAACTTCAGAGCAAAATCAAAAAAGTTCAGATTGCCAAAATAAGCGTTTTGGTCAAGTTTGGCTCAAATCGGTGACATCGACCACAGGTGGTGTACCCACTTGAGCTGCAATGACCCATATAAGAATACTTACTAAAAATTGCTAAATTAATTAATTGATTTTAAAGTTGTAAATAAAAGTGGTAATTTTTAAATGAAATTTGAAACAACATTATAAAAAATTATATTGAATATGTAATTTTGAACTAAACTGATCTCAATCAAATCCGTCATCATTTCTAACGGACCCGTAAAAAATGAAATTGGTTTCCGGAGACGATCCAGCCCAGGGCTGAAAGTCTCCTTAATAAAGATATAAAAAAATGAAATCGGTTACACAACTGTCAAGTCACATTTTCCAACGATAATCGTACTTGACTCGGTTTCAAGGAAAGACTTTCACAACTTTTTTATCAATTACATCAATTACATAGACATAGCTTTTATAAACATCGATCATTTCAAACAAATTGGCCAAAGCTGTTAATGAGAACCCTTAAAAATATTGTCAAAATAAATTGGGCACAACTTCGAATAAAATTAATCATAAAATTTAACAAAATTATCCACAATTTTCAATGTAATTGAATGATCTCATTTGTCAAAACTAATAAGCAGGCATTTGACCAAATATATTTGCTGCTTATAATTATAATGAAAGTAGCCACCATTTTAAGTGGAAATTTAGCGCATTTACTAACTTTATTTTCTACAACCTATGACCATTTTGAACGGATATGGACAAAATGTTTGACCAAACTTATCACAATTTCTTAATAAAAACATAATGTTGTTTAAAAGAAATTGGTTTGAACCTTTAAAATAATTGGTTTTTTAATTGGTCTGTAACCGATTTTTTTTATCGGAACCGAAGTGAAAAGTGCCAAAATGTTCATCGGCACAGAATGTAAATGAAACTGATGTTATTTATGGATTAGGATTAAAAATTTCTTTGTCAATAATTTAAAATCTTTATTTAATTGTTAATTTTTCAAATCTCTTAAAAATCCGCTATTTTTTTAAATTGTGGAAGAAATCGTTGTTTCCACCTTAATTCATATGCGTAGTAATCAAAATTTCTACACACAGGTACATTATTTTAGAAATCAGAATATTTTTATTTGATTTCATAGATGGTTTATAATTTCGTCCCACTTCCTTGCTGCGCCAAAAAAAAGTTGGAACATAGTCACATTAATTGATTATGAGCCAATAAATAGCAAGTGTACCAACGTTTGGAACGTAACATTTCTAAAAGCTACTAAGGAAAGGAATCTTGTTGACCCTGTTGATTAACCTTAAATCCTGCTTTTTGGGAAACTGTTGAAATTACTTAGACCCGATGTTCTAAAGAGTTAATTTTACGATGCAGCGTCCACAATTGGTCGTAAAGATGGCTAACACTTGAAATATTCTAGAATCTTGGATAGTATTGTAACTTTGCGCATGAAATTTGCTTCACCGCAACAAATGTGGGGTTTTGTCATTATATGTTTTCTGGTAGCTGATATTTGTGCTCTATATATATGCAGCATTCAGAATCAAAAGGATATAACTGCGATGATTGATTCCCTGCATTGTTCGAAGAATTATCGAAAAATCGAACTGTTATTCGAAGAGAAAATACAAGCCGAACAATAAATTAGGTTCCAGGGACAGATTCTCTTCGTCGATTTTCTCTTTGCATTGCCACGGCCATGAAGAATCGGAAACACTCGACCTTCTCCGATTTGCATTAAATTGTGCATAACTGTGTGTTGCCTATTTCCAATCATTCGCGTTTTTTTATCTAAAATTAGTACATTTTGGATCTTGTATTTTTTATAATGGAGTCTTTGTTTTTTTTCAATAAATTGTATCACGAAAACGATATTTCTGATCAAAATGACGTCTGAGACAAAGTTGTAGAGAAAAAATATAGGGTAAGTGAACCAGTTATAGCACTATCTTATACACGCAATGGTACCAGATGCAAACTTTAAGTAATGCCAAAACTGGTGCAACTTCCCCTATATGGATTTTTCTAGTATAATTGAGACCAAATTCCAAAAAAAGTGTTACAAACTCAAATATCATAAAAAAGTATTTCTTCAATTTTTATAATTAAAAAAAAAGCTCATGATAAATGCAAACTTTTGGCATATTCAAAACTATGGACACTTGAAACTTGACAAAAATCTTAGAACAAGTACTTTTGGTTAAATTTTTGAAATATTTGGTAGTACATTTTTTACGTAATTTCTACACAGGAAACAATATTTGAGACATTCTAAATTGTTATCTGTGCATATATAACATAAAAAATGCTAGTTATATAGAAGTTTAAAGATATGATCAAAAGTACATGTTCTACGATTTTTGTCACTTTTCGGGTGTCCATGGTTTTGAATATTCCAAAAGTTTGCATTTTTCATCAGCTTTATTTAAAATTATAAATATTGAAGATATATGTTTTGATATATTTCAGTTTTTAACACTATTTGGGAGTTTTTACTCAAAGTTGCTTAAAAAATTACCGTGTATATTTTTCCCAGAAAAACTTTACTTTTCTAGATAACTTTGACTCAGACGTCATATCGATCATAAGTGATGATTTCGTGCTATAAGTTATCGAAAAACATCGAAAAATTACAATATCCAAAATGGCAGAATTTGGTAGACTATAACACACATTTTTTCTATATCCTCATAAAAAAACTCCCAGAGAGTACCTTGTATTTCTTGGTAAAATTATTTTACAGATTTGGCATACTCTCCTGATAAATGGAAAAATGCAAAAGTTGTTCCAATTTTGAAGCCGGATAAAAAACCAGCTGAAGCTTCTAGCTACCGTCAAATAAGTTTGCTTTCTTCAATAAGTAAACTTTTTGAAAAGATAATTTTGAATATAATGATGCTTCACATCAATGCGAACTGCATTCTGGCAGATTAGCAGTTTGGATTCCGCCATGGGCATTCAACTACTTATCAACTATTAAGAGTTACCAATTTAATTCGTTCAAAAAAATCTGAAGGCTGCTCAACTGGAGTTGCTCTTCTAGACATAGAAAAAGCATTCGCATTCGCAAAATTCCAAATCTGAACGACTACCTGTTAAAGCTGGAGTTCCTCATGATAGCATTCTTGGGCCTATATTGTATAACTATTTCACTTCGGACGTCGCTGATTTGCCTCAGAATTGCCACAAATCTTTGTTCGCTGATGACACAGGCATTTCCGCTAAAGGAAGAAGTCTTCGTGTTATTTGCAGTACTTGACCATAAATTAACTTTTAAAGATCACATTGAGGGCATTCAAGCCAAATGTAACAAATATATAAAATGTTTGAATGCTTTTATAATCAGGAAATCCAAACTTAGCCTGAATAAAACTTCTAACTTCTAATAGGGTAGGTGTACCAGTTATGGCCAAAAGTTCCTATTATGGTGTGTTCCAGTTATGGCGTATAGCCTTAACTGGTACATCTACCCTATTTAAACAAGTTTCTACCCGGCCATGCTTTATGCTGTGCCAGGTCTAGTTGTTGCAGTACCAGGAAAAACCACTTCAAAGGATTAAGAAAAAATTCTGAAGATGATTTTGAAGTTCCCTCTCTGGTACATCACTACCGAGGTACAGAGAATTTCGAATGTTGAGACTTAAGAACAAATGTCCAACAAAATAATTAATAATTGCAGTTGCAATGATTAATTGCCTCTTTACTTAGATGAGATTTAGTTTTAGTTTTTAGTTTTAAGATTACAATTGTTATACTGACATGCAGGTATAGAAAACCTGTCTAAAATAGTGAATTGTCAAGGCAGGACCAATGTAAAAACACATAGATTTATATCATAACAATTAAGGCTGGTTAGTTTCTGTAGTAGCACTGGAGCACCTAGGATAAAATGAAATGTAATTTATTTTAAATTTGGAACAAATAAAGAGTTCAAAAAAGCACCAAACGCATCGAGAGAAATGATAATCCACCCGAATTATAAACATAAGGGAAAATCTATGAAGAAAATCGATCATCGCAGATGGGCCCTTACAATTCTGAATGCTAGAATATATTCTATAGATTTCGCATAAGGTCTCAAGGCAGCTCAATTGTGGAAATAGTGTTTATGCATCTTAACATGTCATTATTTGCATCCACATGGTATTGTGCAAGGAAGTTGCCGAATACATACGGCACCCTAGTTTCTAATGACTAGATTATATTGCAGATAATACGATACATTCTGGGGCAGATATGAACGTCCTTCCTTTAACTAATACAACGTTGGACCCTGTGATCCACCCTCTCAGTCAGTGCCTTAGAATAAAAGGAGTTTCCCCAGGAAAACATACATAGATATAGCTAAAAAAAACTGGAGGTAAACGGACTGCAAAAACTTATCATCAAAACATTACCATATGAATTCCCGACAGTGCGAGCAGAACGTTGGCTGACGTAGAAACGTGGCCATAAATTTGTGACCATTAACCTAGAATGAAACAGAAAGAAACGTGAGTAAAACAGTACCCATGTAGGTTATGAGCAACGGCTAGCAGAAAATGCTTCAGTTCAAACTTTTTGGTCGTTTCTGTTTGCCAATAAGTCAGCCGCGTCGCGTCGATGGATGGATGGACGGATGTTAATTGCGAACTCTGTGGTTGGTGTGGTTGTGGGAAGCAGAGCCGATCATAGTAGAATATGATGAGAGCGAGGAAAAGTGAAAAATGAAAAGCTAGTTGTACCTACTAGAGATGCACATTTTGTTTTGGTTCATTGGCCATTGGGAAAAAATATTTTTAGTTACGTCAAGTTCATTTGAAAATGTAAAAGTTCTTCGCTTGGGTTCTTGAATAATTTCAAATACCAATGGTCAGATGGTGAAAATATAATCTGACATATCATGGTCTAAGAAGTTATTGCAGGAACAAGAACATTTACCATCTTCAAGAAACGTGGCATGCCATAACGAGTGGGACGAGGGAAAATAGGGCACACCAGTTAGACAAAAAGTCAGCCGGCCACCAGTGCACGGTAAATCTGAGAGACAGTTGAGATCGCAGCAAGAACAAAACATATTCGAATAAATCATTCAACACATTATTCAAAATATTTTTCTCCTAAAAATAGAATCAATTTCTTCAGTCCTCCGCGCTGTCCCTATCTGTTTGCCTTTTTTTCTGTATAGATACATACACTGTTGCTTGTGGCTGCCAATCTACTTCAGCTTGTAGCTGCTGCTACCTGTCAGTAATGCCGCGCTCTCACGGAGAATCGCGCTCCCGTCGTCGTCATCGTCCGTTGTACGCTTATACGGGTGGCGAGTATGATGTTCTTATTGTATACACAAAACAATCATCCCAATAATCCTACCAGGCCAAACCAGGCTCCACTGGTGCAGCGAGTGAGTCAAGTTTTCCGCACTACCTAGTACCTGCTAGCACACAGCCACCACGCGTCTCCATCGAACAGCGATGCAAGTTACAAGCCAACTAACAACATCTCGCGAATTCCATTGGAGTATTTTTGCATTCGAACCGCTCGACACTCTATAGTCTACACCAACCGACCGAGCACACACTTGTTGATAAACAACAATAGTGTGTCATCGGGAAGAAGCGACAAGTTCTGTACATAGGCACATGGATGTATACCTACATTTCCAAATACGCGCCAATGGTTCGATCAACAGTACAGTACGTACATAAGGATAGAAAAAGCGTCCTCAATTCCTATGTAGAGTAATCAACCCGCCAGCGAAAGGCTGATGGGTTGTAGCAATTTCGACGCAGTGGCCTAGAAATGAAGCCGTAATTCTTGCATAAACGGTTTTGATCTTCCTTCTACAGAATGGTTGAGTTGAGCGAGTTTATGAAAGAGATCCATCTGAATGACGCTGATTCAAACGTCCTTCGAGAGGCAACACGATCGGAAGCAGAAACGACCACACGACGCCGATGATAGATTCCAAACTACACTTTAACTGACCTGGTGGACGCGCCTCCTCATAGCACCGCGTCGTCGGTTCAAGAACGGTTGATCCTTGACGCCCATCCGTCGGCATGAGTTTTGCTGCTGCGATGCGGCACTGCTGCACTCCTGGTTCCATCGTAGGTCGATTTTCACGTGTAACCGACCCTGCGGTTCCAAGTCCACCTGAAAATGAAGAGTGAAAAATATTACTCAGAGAACAAGGTAAAAGTTTGAAAGCTTCTCAATCGAGGTAAAATGAAATAACTGCCAAAAATGGGAGATTTGTATGAAATACTTCACGGGAGCCCTCAAATGGTGTATGTTGTAGATGGTCGATTGTCGTTTAACATAAAACTTCAAGTACACATCGTAACAGTAGTAGTGTAGCCCTTTCTGACCCTTTGAAACGCCTTTACCAGTTAAAAAACTTCATAAAAAAAAACGAGTTAAATTTTTTATAAGCCACCCTCCAGTTTGATTCATAAATATGAATGTGTGCTAAAAAGTTAAGCGTTGTGTCCGAAGCACGCCCGTATTAATGACGTAGGACTACTAGTTTTTTGTTGTTGCTGCTCAATTTAATAATAATTTCAAAATAATTGAGGGCCTCCCTTAGCAAGACCATGTTGGAGGCGGCTGAATTTGATTCCCGGTTGGAAAATGTCTCATGTACTAGCCACACAAAATATAAAAATTCTAAAACTGTATAGGCTTAGAAAGCTCTCAATGAACACTAAGTTGAGAGTAGTCATAAAGTCCCAGTATGGACGTAATAAACTAAAATATAAAGAAGTTTAAAATTGTTGGTTTATAAATTAAATTAGAAAGTCAATAAACATTCAAAGAAATATTGGAAGTTTTAAAATTAGGTGAAATTCAATATCGTTTTTTTTATCAATAGTTTATTTGCTAGGTTCAAATGTCCAAAAGGACTTCACGGAGCCGAGAACCATAAAATAAAATAAAAACTACAAGGGACAGCCAGGCTTGCTTCTACTCACTTGCTATAAAAAATTGTTTTTCGGAATTATGAAATCATTAGATATTATAATGATAGTAAGTAGCTGTAAGTCACAAGCTTAGGTTGTAAACTAAGTGTTTGACACATAAAACCTGTCATTATTGCTTTCAGTGCGTCAGTGAGTGAACGCCCACGAGTCATAAATTCGCTGATTGTGACGCACTTAAAGCACAATTGACAGGTTTTATGTGTCAAATACATACCTTCCAACCTCTTCTTGTTTCTGACAAGTACAAACTTTCATAATAGCATCCAATGATTCCATAATTCCGAAAAACATTTTTTATAGCGAAGTGAGTTGAAGTAACCCTGGGGACAGCCCTATGGGATTGTACGCAATGGTGACGTAGGTCTACGTGGTCTTACATAATAAATCTTATTTGTTAACTACAGCAGGAGCTTGTGTTTTGTGTAGGTATAGGAATTTGAGCGGGGTTCTCTCTGTTTATACTCTTTAGAATCAGGATTGCTTCCACTCACTTGCTATAAAAAAATATTTTTCGGAATTATGCAAACATTAGATGTTTTAATGATATGTTGTACTTGTAAGTAACAAGAAGAGGGTGTAAAGTATGTGTTTGATTTATAAAACCTGTCAATTTCGCTTTCAGAGCGTCACAATCAGCGATCTTATGATTCGTGAGCGTTCACTCAGAGTGAGCGCTCACGAGTCGTAAAATCGCTGATTGTGACGCACTGAAAGCAATATTGACAGATTTTATGTATCGCACATATACTTCATGACCTCTGCTTGTAACTTACAAGTACTAATTAGCATTATACTATTTCATGATTTCATAATTCTGAAAAACATTTTTTTATAGCAAGTGAGTGGAAGTAACCCTGTTTAGAATGATGTGCTTGACATATATGGCCCACAGAAACTCACAAAGAGCTACTGATTCCGATCAATAGTGGTGCGGTTTAATCCTCTTTCTATGGATGCTCATGTGGGCTGCAGCTCACTGCTTGCAGGCAGCTTTTCGTTGTGTACTGGAGAACACTACCACTCACCACGCGGTGATTGATTAAACACCGTTTGGTGAGATCGGATGGAATTAAACTTTGAAATCTGTTTTAGGGGAATTGCTTTTCGCAGGCAATCGGTGATGATTTTAATTATCATAGCAACAGTTGCACATTCGTGCAATTTTCAACAATGGCATTAAAAAAAATGAAAAAGTCTTAATTTTAACAGATTTCTAGAAAAGATTCCCATCATCTCTGTATCAAAATCAGACCGCGACTAACGGCATTTGTTTTTTGAAATCACACCCCCAATGATGCCTTAAAGTACATGTTATGATGGATTTAAACATATATAGAGCTGGAGTTAGGCGTAACAGCTTTTGTAAACAATGACTTCTCTCGATGATTTTTACGAATTAAAGACACGCCCACGCAAACCAGCATTACTGTCGAGTAGGAGAAGTCTTACCCTATCTGATGGTGATGTTGATTTGCGTGGGCGAGCCTTGACTTTCATGACATCATCGAAAGAAGTTATAGTTTACAGATGAGGCTGGTGATCTGTATGTTGTTTGGAATGAGGGTGACGCGCTTGGCATAGATAGTCTACAGCGACTCACGAAGAGCTACTGATTCCGATCAATAGCGGTGCAGCCTTTCGTTGTGTACTGGAGAAAGCACTGCTGCTGCTGCAGCTGATGCCGACAACCAGACACAACCACACACGGGGATTGGAACTGAATCCGATCAGCGGTTAAGGCCAGCCTTGGTAGCTAGCTGCTTGCGGGGATCCTTTCGTTGTGTACTGGAGAACACCATCACTCACCACGCGGTGATTGAATAAATACCGTTTGGTGAGACCGGCTGGAATTCAACTTTGAAATCTGTGTTAGCGAAATCGCTATTCGCAGACAATCGGTGGTCATTTTAATTATCAAAGCAACCGTTAAATATTCGTTCAAAATTATTAAGTCTTAACAGATGCGTAGACATATATCTGATCGATTGGTGATAAAATTATTGAAATTGGTCCAGGGGCAGCTGAGTTATTAACGTTCAAAATCATTCATAATTTTGTTTCATGTTCCATTTTTGGTTTTCACAAAGTTAACCCCCATATAGAAATCACAGACGTAGTCCTACGTCAATATAATAATTACAATAAAGTATTAAGAGGGAAAACAAATTTATGCGTTCTTCTTACTCTTCCTTGGAGGCGATTTGAGTTTAGCTTCCGCTTTCATCCGTGCCCTCAACTCCCCTGCTTCTGCCAATGGTTTTTCCTTCAGCAGTCCCAGCCGCTTGGCCTCCTCTTCGTCATGCATCCGCTCTTTCTCGGTATAGTACACTATCCCGAATTTGTAGTAGTAATACGCTTCGTTTTTGCACTTGAAAACAGGTGGCCGTTGTTTCTCAGCAGCGCTTGCTTCCTTTCCACTGTTCTTGTTGGCGTCCGGAGACGACACATCCATCAGCACCACCTTTTCTCCCAGGATCTCAACCGCTCGTTTGGCGATGCACCTCCAGTCACTACACCAGCGTATGAACTGGTTTCGTCCTCATTCCGTTGTTGATTCCTTGGTAGAATATGTTTCCCTTTCGATTGAGGAAATGCAGCATGTTGGGAATCTCCTTTTTTATATCCATATATAGACCTAGCACACCTGTAAGCACATCGAGGCGCAAGGCAGCTGGAAATTTCACCCGTATTACACGCTTTACATCACCGTATTTTCCCAGCACCAATGCTAGATTGCTATTCGGGACTTTTGGTGGTAGGTCGTAAACTCTCACGTATTTACTCAACGGTGCCCTCAGCAGGCGACATGCGTACCTCGACTGACTTCCCATCGGCATAATGGAAAATTAATTGTTCACGTTTGTGTAGCATGAACATAGAGTTTTCCTCCGCTATGCGATATGTAGCGATCATGTGAGTTCGATCTGCATCCAGCGATTTCACAAAATTCGCTATGCCTTCTATTGATGGTTTCGCCAATCTATGTTGGAAGCTGAATCTTATCGTCAGTTTTATTTCATGAACTTCGAACAATGAGTTGCTATAAAAAAAACAGACTATCGCGTGACTCGCACCGAAAAAACACACAGCTACTTGTGTCAACAGCTACGAGCGAACTCGTATTCAATATCGCTAATTGAAGATTCAATTTTCAAAATTCAAAATTCTATCCCGATCCTTATTCAAAACTAGTTTCCAAGCATGGATAAACATCTTTTGGTAACTGAATACACTGAAGTCTTTTTTTAAACGGTTTTTTTACGCGGTTTTTTTACACGGTTTTTTACACGGTTTTCCACGATTTACACGGTACGTTTTTAACGATTTCTCGACAACGATACAACCTATCGACTTGATTCCAATCAAATTATCCGTTTCAAGCTATAGGTAATCGAATGGCATACTTAAAAAAAAAATCACAATTTTTGGTGTAAATACAGAAATTTTTAAAATATGTCTATAATTACAAATGGCATTAAAATCCGATTTTTTAAAAACATTTAAGCATGCGAAAAATCAAAATCTCGTAGGTTTTTTTTTACACGGTTTTTTTTACACGGTACGTATCCCCCGTGTAAAAAAAGACCTGAGTGTAATGTTGATTTAGCAGCAACCGGAGTGGCGATCCCCTAATTAAAATGCATTTCATAAAACATAACTGCTAAAAATATTCAAAATGATCTGAATCTGATGACACATTATATTTTGATGTTGCAGAATTTTAACAAATAAACTAATGCTCATTTGAGTTTGTTTTTTATCTGTTAAAATTAAAATAACATGGCATAGGACTGTATTTAAATTTGCAAACATTTTGCTGCTGTATGCCATGAAAATTGCATATCGTATACTGACAAGTCAATACGTTACAAGCCAAAACGCTACATTTGTTTAGACTTCATTTCACACGGTGACAGTTTATAAGAAAAGCTAATCAGGTCATCCTTGGTGGCAGAATTCTGATCCAAACTGTGCACCATTCAATAGGTCTAATAAATCTGAATAAATTCGCCAAAAACAGCTACCTTCTATCTAGTTGAGCTTTCAAGTTAGAGCAACTGCGCTGTTCACCAACCAATAGGCCTTATCCATTTGAACAACTTTGATGAAGACCGCATCATTTCAACCTGAACAATGCATTGGGTCCTAAGAAACATTGATCGATTCTCTTCA